GTGATGGACCTGTCTCTCCAGGTGTGACAGCACCTATCTCTCCGCCCCTGCTGCCCCTCCTTCCCCCCCCTCACCCAGGTGCCCCTGTGCCCCCCTTGCCCCTGGCCTGTGCGCAGTGGCCGCGGTGGCGGATGAAGCTGTCGCGCCACATGAACCGCCTCTCGCAGGTGGCGCAGGTGTACGGCCTCAGCCCCGTGTGGGTCTTCATGTGCTCCGTCAGGTGATGTTTCATCTTGAACTGCTTCCTGCAGACTGGACACCCGAAAGGTCTCAGGTCCAGGTGCATGTTCACGTGTCTGTCCCTCATACTCCGGTGGGAAAAAGCTTTGCCGCAGTGACACAGGTAGATCTTGTTGCTGGTGGTGCTACTGGTTGTACTGGTGGTGCTGGTGGTACCTTCTTGAGCCGCTGCTCCGTGGGTTGAGGTGGGATGAGGTGGGAAGAGCAGGATCTGGTTGCCTTGCATGTCCATGGGGAGGAAGGAACGAGGGGGGAGGAAGTTTGGGTCGTCTTGAGTTGGGTAAGGGGATGGGAAATCTTGGGAGGACTCGCACAGGTTCACTTGGTCTTCAGGTTTGGGTAGGGAGACACTTCTGGGAAGTGCTTCCTCCTTCTCATGGGACAAGCTGCGGTTTCCAGGGGTTATTTCCTCCTCGTGGCTCAGCCTGAGGCTTCCGGGAGCTGTTTCCTCACCCCCTTGGGCCATCCCAAGACTCCCATGACTTATTTCCTTGTTGCCATCAGCCACCCCGAGGTTTCCAGGGGTTATTTCCTCCCTGCTGTGGCCAAGTCCGAGACTTCCGGGAGTCACTTCCTCCCTGTGGGTTATCCCCAGGTTTCCAGGAAGCACTTCCTCAGCCCCAGGGGGTATTTCCTCCCCTTCAGGGCACATCCCAGTGCTTCCTGGCGCTACTTCCTCACTCCCATGGGCCAGTCCGAAGCTTCCAGGAAGTACTTCCTCCTGCCCTTCACTTCCTGGTGCTGATCTGTGGCACTTCCTGCTGCTGCTGCTGTGGGTTATTCCGGCACTTCCTCGTGCCAACCTGGCTCTGCCATGGCATTTCCTGCTGCTTCCTGGGGCCACTTCCTCTCTCCCCCAGGTGACTCTGCTGCTTCCTGGGACCACTTCCTCCCTTCCCCTTGTGGTTCTGCCACTTCCTGGGGCCACTTCCTCCCTTCCCCAGGTGACTCTGCCACTTCCTGGGGTCATTTCCTCTCTCCCCCAGGTGACTCTGCCACTTCCTGGGGTCATTTCCTCTCTCCCCCACGCGACTCCCCCACTTCCTGTTGCCATTTCCTCCCTTCCCCACGCGACTCCACCACTTCCTGTTGCCATTTCCTCCCTTCCCCATGCAACTCCACCACTTCCTGTTGCCATTTCCTCCCTTCCCCATGCGACTCCACCACTTTCTGTTGCCATTTCCTCCCTCCCCCACGTGGCTCCACCGCTTCCTGTTGCCATTTCCTCCCTCCCCCACGGGGCTCTGCCACTTCCATGTCTCTTCCTCCCTCCCCCTCGCCCTCCTCCTTCCTTCCCACCACTTCCACTCCACTTCCTGCCTCCCCCTCGGGCCACCCCTTCGCTCCCACTCCTCTTCCTCCCCCTGCCCCGCCTCACTTCCTCCCTCCCGGAGGAAACTTCCTCTTTCTGAGGCTCCTCCTCCTCCTCCTCCTCACAGGTGAGCACCAAGCTGGAGCCAT